ACAAGGGCTCGGTCATTCATTTATCTTTTCATTTCCTTGCTCATAATTAATGTCCATGTGGCCCCCCCCCCACATTTGGGTCTGTGTTTCGCCTTTCGCATCCATCCTCCAGTCGTGTGGGCCTGTGTGCCTGGGGTATCCGTATTCCCCCGGGGAATGATAATAAATTGATGAAGATTTTGGGTATTAATGAGCAAGAACTTTGCCAGAGATTACGGAAAAATTGGATTAAAAATGTGAAAAAATAACGGTAGCTGTACAATATACAGTCTCCCTTGGTATCCCTACGCTCATCTTTTCATATGCATATGTATGTATGTTTATATGTACATATATATGTACAGTGTCCATATAATCGAAAGGTACATATTCATACCATTAAAGATAAACTATATATCTTAGTCCAATCATTCTGATTCCAATTTTAGGGTGTTTCAATTCGGGTTTGGAATTTGACATTTCATTTGGCGTTGAGTTAACCAAGACTCCAGCTATAACTGGAGACTCCCTTGCGTGTGTGTAGTCATGTCCACTGCCTCCGTTCCTTGTGAACAATAAATCGCAGTCAAAGTGCCTTAATTCTGGCCTCCCACTTTGGGGTCGTAACCAGCTTGATTTGCATGCAAATTGCGTATAAATCCTTGAATGGTTGGAGCCACGTTCCACCATTTCTTAGTATTATTGCAAGGAATAAGGACATGGAACAGGGAAATAGAGGACGTGGAAAAGATGTCTTTGGTTAGTTAACTTGGCCAAGCTCTCTCTCATTACCTTGTGCCTCTCTCTGTGGTGACAAAATGTTTGCTTTTAATTAAAACAAGAGAGATTTTCTTTTGTTTGTTTTTTTGTATTAAAGGAATGGATTTTCTTGGCCAAGTCTGTGCTGGAATCAACAATTAGTGGCTTCAAGCGAGGGATTTTTTAATTGGCGGATAACCCAAGGAAACACCACACCAAGGCCGCAGTGACTAATCAAATTTCGTTGCACCTTTTGTTGACCCTATTCTGCGGTTTCGACACTCTGCCCACTGCACGCTGAGAGCCCAAGTCCCCAAACAAAGGATAACAAATGCAACTATTTTTAGTCACTCTGCCACACACAGACATACCTCAGAGCACCAGAGTGTGGCAGCGTGGCTCCTACAGAATGTGTGTGTGTGGGAGACAGAAGGCCAGAAAGCAAGGGCAAGGTCGAGGCATGACATACACTTATCCATAGATGTACGATTCAAAAGAGCTAACGGCGAATGTATCCTATCGCCTATGGGAAATTTGTCGAGCGATTCTGTGCCAGTCGCACGTGAACGTGAAAATAAACGTGGATAGGCAATCTGGAAAAATCTTGAGAGGATAACCACATGGGCTTTTTGATCCCCTATTTGGGCAGGGTATACTCGCACAGGACACTTCGAATGGTGCATGGATCATGCGGCAGCAAGTGCGGCGGCCTGCTTGGGGCAGATGTGGGGCACTGTTGACAAAGAGAAGGCGTCGGCATCGGCGACGGAAACTCGCAATGTCAATGCCAAAAAGAGAAAGGTTAAGTGTCATTCCACACCCCAGCACCAAAATCTTCAAGCCACAACACCCAACCAAAGGAGCATCCACGTGTCCATGCATCATGTGATTTTTGCATTGATTTTCCACTTGAATGCTGGAGTGGAATGCAAGGATAAGGATCGAGTGGGGTTTGCTATTGTTCCCGCCCCCTCCTCAGAACACAGACAGCAAAAAGTTCAACAAGTGTGTGCCCGCAGGAAAGGGAGGAGAAACAGCTGCGGTTGAATGGCGACACGACGGAGCCAACTCATTATAGTTTTCGCAGGCTTAATCCTTGCCACCAGGACACAGGCAGAATGCAGCAGCCCAGGACCCAAGTTTTTGCAAAACAAATAAACTGCGAAATGAGAATTGACGTGAAACGAGCACAGTGGACATGAGAATTGTGGGAAATGGAACGAGAGTCCATTGAATTTACCCAAACGAATGAAAATACGGAATGCATAAATGGTTTCCGAAACTACCTCAATCTGCGCCCAAATCGCATCTCTCTTTAGGATAATTTTCCACCAAATTTCCCATGAGCGTAAGGTAACGCTGTTTCGATGATTTTGTTCCCACTGTGGGTGCTCCTTGGTCCACAGCCCAGAGGCTGTGAGGATTAGCTCTTGTCGTGACCTCATTGCCCCCTCATTGCCCCCTCACTGCACCGCAGTCGAGCCGTGGGGCAAAATGCAACTAATTATGAATTTTAATTAATTCAGGCATTTTATTTTGTTGCCCCAAAAGCCACCCGAAAAGCCCGTTGGGGCAATAATAATAAAGTGAGTTCTAGGGAATTGCACACGAAAATTCTTTAAGCAGCTTTTCCATTTTGTTGCCTTTGAAACTTGACATTGAAGCCACTTCTTTCACTGGACACGAAATAAAATAAAAATAAAAATAAAAATAGCAATACAAATAAGAAAAGAGACCAAAACATTGAGTGACTCTTTTTGTTGTCGCTTGAATTTCGCTTCCATTCACTTGAATGGTCTTCTGTGGAACATGGAAGGAATGTTTCCTCGTAGGAATGTTTCTTCTGCCCCAGGTATTTCAATGTTGAATGCATTCTTTAATGTCTGATTGAAGAAATTTTCAGAGTTTCAGCTATTTTTTGTTTCCATTTTATTTGGTGCTTCAATTTTCGTTGCATTTTTCCACACATTTATTTGATTGTGTATCCCTCCCGCCATCTGTATGGCTGAAAGCTTTATCAATTGGAATTTAATGTTCTCTCTGGATAAAAATTGCATTTTCCCAATTCCATTTGTTGTGCCACATCCGGCCACACAAACAACACCACAAACAACAAACCCATCGATGGGCGTCGATACAGCAATGGTTCTAAGACAAATGCATTATTAAACGCCATAAAAATGTCAGGGCCCTCTCTGTTTATATTCTATTTTTTATGTGAAGGGAATACTTCTCCTTCATGTCCGACATATGCATGTAGACTCTGCTGGTGGGTTTGCTTTTCGGTTTCTTGTCGCTGAAACATGACAACTGCGACAACGAAACAACGAGGGACGTTCTGGGGGAGTCATAAATATTGCAAATTATTTAAGCTCAAAAATTACAGAAACCATGTCACAGGGTAGCATTCTGGGTACATGAGGACTTGCAGAATAGATTTGTATATGCATATTTCACTTCACAATAACAGCCGAGTAGAGGATCAACTCCATTCGTATTAATTACGGGAGATAAGTAAAAACAATTAAGGAACATTTTTCAAAATGCCAGTTGAAGCGCTCAGTAATGGATACTATTTTGTTTAAACAACATTTTACTCTCGCCTTTTTCTATACGTTGGAAATACATCCTTAGACTTAATTTATAAAATGCCAAAATATTGATTAAAGTTGAAATTGAATGGCAATTGAAGTGCTCTCGATTCGTGTGCATGTTGTAAATAACAGTGAAAATTCAGTGCTTTCCCCCCACACACTTTAAAGTTGTACAATTTTCGAGTTGGGATACTTCTTATGCGGGAGAAACTATGCGTGTGAGGGCACTTGAAAAGTTTTCACAGCAGCAGGCCAAGTTTTTGCCTTGAAGACCTATTGGATTCGATCTCCCAGCAGGGTCCCATTTCAGCATGCCTTTATGTTGATTTGCTTGTTGGCTGTTGTCCTGAAAGGTGGATATAGCCAGCCGCAAATGATGCTCCTTATGCTCCTCTGGAGGCTGGCAAGCTTGCAGGATCTTAATTATTCAGCAAGGCAGCATGCCCAAAAGCGAATGGATAGAGTAGGAGCTGGTCTGTGGCTCTCATCACTTGGGGAAAACAAATTAAGTGAAAGTCTGCCTTCCAAGAAGTTTTCTCAGGTATTTCAGTGCAAACAAAAATACATTGGGAAATCATATTAAAAGGATATTTTTAATAATTTTGAATAATGAAAACGTTACCTGTGTGTAACCTTCGACTTTCGTGAAAGTTGCTTCTCTGCTTTCATTCATTCATCCATAATTTTGATAAGCAATTGGCCAAAAGTTTATGCAGTTCGGCCCGGAAGTGAGGGCCAGAGCATACCACTCGAAGGGGGTGCCACGGGATGAGTATATGATGTAAGGCTCTGCCTGTGCTGTGCCTCTGTGTCCCTCCATCCGTCCGTTTGTCCATCCGTGTCCATGTGCTGACGTCAGTTAATTGATTTGAAACACGGAACCACCCAACGGCCCCCCAATCGAATGAAGTCTATGAGAGTCATTCGTTCATGCAGTGAGACACTCACTCATTCAATCGCTCACTCGTTCAATCACTGGACTCATTCGATGGCTGGGGCTGTCCATCAATTCGGTTGCCCATTGTCAGCATGTGACGCATTTTTGGCCATAAAGTAAAAGCCAAACGGGTAGTACAAAAATTATTTGATAATGCTGCAAAATGCTGCAATATGACACCATTGGCATTATTTTTTATTCAAAGAAGGGCCCGATGGGGACTTCATACTCAAGAGTAAGCGATGCAATATCCAAAAATGTTCGTTGCCATTAGTTGCATTAGTCGATAATTGTCGAAAAGGTTAATACAGAAATAGAGTCACATGAACATATGATTTCCTTCACTGGAAAAATAAAAGGAAGTGAAGGCATCATTATTAAGCTGCCAGAGAAATCATCGCTTAAGAGAACCCAAATAAAGAAGCAATGGAAAACACTATAGCAGTTGCTGCTTTTGATGAAATGTACAGCACCCGCCTGCCTCCCACCACCATATGGGTGGTGCGGGGGGTGCATGGAAAGTGGGTTGGCTTCGTCGCTTCGGCCTCTGTTGTATGCGTGTTTTTGTATGCCGCCTCCTGACCTTCTCGCGCATCGCATGTCGTTTTAACATTTTCTGCAACAACCAGAAATTGAAGCTTTTTTTTTCTGTTTACCTCTACAAAGTCCCAACCCACACCAGCAAAGAAAATCGTGCGCCGTTTTCCTTCTTCGTTTCATGATTTATTCACTCAATGAATGAGGGTCACAAATTGCAGAAATATGACCAGTACTTCCAATATGAAGAAGAACATCTGCAAAGAGAGGACGAGAGGACCTTTTGAGTTCCTTTTCATTTGGTAGTGCTCAAGTTTAATGTCCGTTGCATGTCCTACCGCTGCCAGAGTTTGCAGATTCAGATGGTAGATGCCACAGACATTGAACTGCAAGGCATCTTGCATGATTTGCAGGGAAAATTCCTCAATTTGGCTGCGCTCCTGGGACGTCCCGCCACGCTTTTCGCTTAGTTGCCGTTGCAGAATTTTTGACTGTAAAGAGGATTCGCTCATGAATGAATATTCAATGATTGGCGGACACCTACCCCTGCCACAAAACGATCACAGGCGGCGCACACTGTCCAGATCTTCACGAGTGTGGGCACCACTACGTAGACGGCCTGCCAGAAGACCAGCCACGTGGCATGCACCGATTCCAAATGCCCCACCATGAAGTACACATTGCAAACGATGAGAAAGTCGCCCAGAACGAGCACATTCAGCAGCAGCAGCGACGGACCATAGAGCTGCGACAGAGATCGGCACAACCTCGCCAAGTGGGCATACGCGGAGCGCAGCTGCGGGTAGTCTTCCAGAGAGCAATTGATCAGCTGGCGCTGTAGCTGCTCCAACTGCGCCTGCAGGCGTCGGACCAGAAGGAGCATCTGCAGATAGCGTGCGCGCACCGCCTGAGAGCTGAAGATATAGCGTAAGTTCTCAACGAACTGCCCGAACCTCATGGCATCGGTAATGGCAATCGTCAGGGCGTACACAACCAAGAGCAGTTCCAGGGCCACCAGACGATTGACGGCTGCGGTGGCATGCGTGGGTGGCAGCTGTTGCAGCAGATGACGCTCCCGCCGGCATCCGATTAGCGCAAAGAGGGCGATCAGTGCATGGACCAGCTTGTAGAACACATTCACAGCCTGAATGGCCTTGGGAAAGAAAAGCCTTCTATCGATCATCAGCTCTTCCCCCCTGCCATAGTTCCTCATCTGTACCAGCAAATCAATGATCACTAGCACCAGGTAGAGGCTGCTTAACAGGCGACCCACACGGCGGTTGGAGTAGCTGCATCGCAGGCCAAGTAATTGAAAGTATCCGCCCAGGCAGCGTTCTAACCAGTCTGCAGACATCGCAACTGGAGGCACTGGAGGGAGTTTCCCGATGACAAAGGGTCCTCGTCGTCGTCGTTTTTGTCTATCAAAGGCAATTAATCCAAGTGTGGTGCAGAGATCTAAGATCCATCTTAGATATGGGGACTTGTCACCAAGTAGAACCGAGTAGCACTGCTGCATGACGAGCTGGGGAAAGGGTTCATACTCACATTCACTGCTGACTGTCTTTTATCCTTGTGCTTTCTTGTTTATTTTGCAGTGCTCACGGTGCTCAGCTCCACGATTAAGTACAACGAATATGCAACGGATAAGGGCGGAAATGTCAGCATACCCTGCATCGCCCAGGGCAACATAATGTGGGTCAAAGAACACGGCAGCAACAGTCCAATAGTCCAGGTGAGTGGTGCAGCCAGCCCGGAGCCCACCCAACAATTGCAGAATATACCTTTAGAATTGATTTCTTCTTATGTTTCCCAGACGGGTCGTGTCTTGGTGCTGCGTAATGTGAGCACATCGGATGCTGGCATTTATGTGTGCTTTGCCACAGCCACAACCACTACCACAACTACAAGAGCTACAGCCACAAGCCCAGCGACAACTACCTCACCGCGACTGGAGAATGATGGGGAGCAGCAGCTGCCAGAGGAGGAAACCGCAACCGCAGCCACAATCGCAACCACAACACAATCCAAAGAACAAAAGCCGATGCAGGTGCAGGAGGAGGAGCTGGAGTATCAGGCATACCAGCGCACAAAGCTCACGGTACGCACTGTACCCGGCCCAGTGACGCAGCTGTACTTCAAGGCTTCCACCATACTGGGCTTTCTCATCTGGCGCTTCAACAAAACCCAGTCGGGCGGCTATCCCGTGCGCAGCTTCACCGCCGAATTCCGGAATGTATCGTACAGCCAGCCGCCAGCAAATGCCAGCTTCGAGCACGCCTGGAGCCGCATGGATCCCATTAATATAGCACCCAATGTGGTCAGTATTTGTCTCTGTGTATATTTTAATCAAAACTAATAACAAAACAAATCCGAACGATTCAGCGTCAAATGGAGGTGTATCGGTTGGCGCCAAACACCACCTATGAGTTCCGGATATGGGCCAACAATGAGCTGGGCAGCGGCGTGGTGGTAACCACCAATGTCACCACCTTGCCGGAGACCAAAGAAGAGGGTGAGTACTCCCAGTGGAGGTCCACACACACAACCCACATACTCTTATGCTCATACGATAGTTAGGCGAACTGTATCTTAGGATAGGCATTATCCATAGATTATCATAGGTTCTAGGGTCTGACTGTACTTTCATTAGTTGGATAATCTTTCAGCCGTACTAACTTACTTTTCAATGTGTAAATTGTACTTTTTTGTTGTTGTTATTGTCGGTATTTGAATGCGGCCAGGGTTGCCGCTAGAAACTAGATGCAATCCTGGTTGCCATCGCTCCGCAACTCTAGTGTTATCGTGTATTATCGATTGACTTGACTTTACCTTAAAATTGTAATCGTAAACGTAAACGTTATCGTATACATAGATCATTGTTTTAGTATATATTTTGTAATTCTTTTTGTTGTCCATCTATGTCTCTTTTTTCTCTCTCTCCCCCTCTCACGCTCTGAAAAAAACTCTGTCTCCCTTTCGGGAGTTCTCGATGTGTGTGTCTCTCTCTCTATATATCTCTCTTTCTCTCTATATATATCTCTCTTGATGCGCGTTCAGATCTCATACGCCTTATTAAACCCGACTTAGACAATTTCGATCCACGCATTTGGATAGTGGCCGTCAGTATAGTGCTCGGAACACTTGTGATATTAGCCATTGGACTCTGCATTGTGCTCTCCAAGGAGTGCTACCAAGCATCGCAAATGGGTACAGACTAAGTCGAATTAACTCACAAATAAAAAAAAAACAACAACTCCAAAAATAACTCCAAACTCCAACCAAACAAACAATCAATTTATCAAAATCGCAAAAGATTTCACGTTTTGTGTGTGGCTTGCCAGTGCTGTGCAGCGAATGCCTGTTACCGTTCCTGTGTTCCTGTGTTTTGTGTGTGCCAGTGTTGGGCAATGCAATCTACTAGAACCATTTTTTCGTTGCGTTTAATTCGTCTTTAGTTTTAGCAAAGATTTTAGAACCACATAGGTGACGGGCGCACCAAAATCGATGTAACCAAGTCACTGCAACGCTGCTGGAATGATCCAGGCGTCATTTAAGTGTTCTATTATGTTTGTTTTCTTAGCTAACTTTTGAGTTACGTTTGTTCCTTTTGTTTTTATCTTCACGCATTGTTGTTCTCATTGCTATGGCTATTGCTGTATTGCTGTTATTGTTGTTGCTACTGTTATTGTTAATACATATATTGTTGCAATTGTTATTCAATGTTCCATTCAGTTATAATTTGCGTGTTGTATGAGTGTCTATCTATATACATATGTATGTATGACAACGGCCCCAAAATTAATTGTTTGCTTTAGTGTTGTTATTTATTAGTTATAAGTCATTATATGTATATAGCTTTAGTACCAATGCCCCTCCAAATAATCTGTAAATACAAATACCATACAAATGTTCGTATATAAATATTTCTTCATCAGTTAATCAGTTAGCCAGTGCACGGCGCTGAAGATACTTCTTGAATGAATTGAGTACAAGAACCAGTGTTGAAAAGATAAGTATGAGTGTTAGGAAGGAAGGGTGCTTCCCTTCTTAAAGAAGACCCCACGCCTAGGTCCTCCATTCAAGATATTGGAAATTCTCTTAAAAATACTACTTTTGGTATACCATTAAATTCTTTTTTAAATTGTATGAAAATAGTTTCATTGAAAGTAGAGCTTAGATCAATTAATAGTAGATTTACTCGACAGCAACACTATTATGCCATCTCGTTCATACATTTGCATTCATGCACTTGTATGTATTTGTAGCGCGTCATGCGGCAGTGCTCCTCTGTCAGTATTCCTTAATAAAAAGTGCTCTTTCACGCAATTTTTATCACATGTGAAAAACACAACCAAAGTTCAACAAATATTCCAGGCAGTTAGTAGATGGATAAAAGACGCTTTCATGGTTCATCCCAATTTATCCCAAATCACTTCATTGAATAAATCTTTACATATAGAACTCAGATAACTCGTACCCTTCTATAGCCTTAAGCCAACCAAAGTGCGATTTTTCCCATTAAAAAAAAACCAAAGATATAAATGAATTGCAATTGTAGACCAAAGAAATCAAAGCTTTAAGCACTTTAACTGTGATAGCCAGCGCACTTGTAGCAAGCAATCAATGAATCAAAATCGAAAAGGACCGAAAAACTATAAACACTTTTGAAGTTTTAAAAACATGTTGAAGTAATCCAAACAAATTGCTAGAAAGCGATAACCAAAGATGCATATACCCCTAAATATAAAACTAGAAGAACTATTGCTTAATTAATATTGTAAAATGCATAGCAAAAAACCAAAAGAAATAACCAAGAAACTGCTTTATCAATGTTGTAACCGTTTATGTAATTTACTGAATATATATTATTATGTTATTTGCATTTAAAAACCAAGCACGAACATTAAACGTTTTAATGGAAAAGAACAAACAAACAAAAAACCCAAAAAGAATGTGTAAATGTTTTGTTGAGTGTTTGATTTATGTTCGTTACACACAAAAACACACAGAAGACACGCCATAGAATCTGCACACAACACACACAAACACATATATAGACACTGGATAACCTACTATACAGATACTATATACAATATATACGATATGAACTATACTTATTTAGAGTCAAAAGTTGTTGCTTTTGCGGCATTGCGAGGGTGGCCACAAGCTCCTGTTACACGCTGGGCATTCCCTCAATGGGTATTCAAAATCTTCTACCCACTGGGATTGTTCAAGTTGCAACTTGAGCTTAAAGTTTTTCCCTCGAGCTTTAACTTTGCACACACACATATACGCAAACACAAAAAACACAAAAACAAAAACCATACACGCTAAAAACAAAACTGCCTTAAACAAAAAACTATCCCCCCCACCCAAAAGAATATACAAAAGCAGAGGTAAAGTACAGAACAATTATCATAAATGTATCTAATAAATGTATTTGTTTTCCTCTCTCTGTCTCTCTCTCTTTCTCTTTCTATATATGTTCCAATTACGATTCGTGATCCCTTCTGCTGTTGTGGCTTGAAGAACTGCAAGATGGTTGGGACAGCATTGAGCTTATACCGAATATAATACTTAATCCCGGTTTCAGCGAATCGGATGGAGGCGGTGCTGGTGCTGGTGGCGACGAGAATGATGCCGATGCGGCAGCAGCTGCCGAAGCGGAGGAGGAGGCAAGAGTGCGATTTACACGCACCATTATATTCGGGCAGAAGCCACGACCCAGTCGCCTGCATCCCCATGGACATCCACAGCATCGTGCACCGCCGCCAGTGGTGGTCTTCGATGATGACGACGACGATGACGAGGAGGATCACGAGCCCACGATGGAGAGATTCAAGCGCAAAGTCTCGGTATTTTTTACAGGTCCCACCATCAAACGTATTTGAGAGTACAAACACTTACCACATAGGTTGTTGCCACATTGCGGTTTAATCTCGGATTGTTATTAGAGCTTACACTAGTCACAGTTACGAGTACTTGCAGAAATGCTACTAAATACAGTTTGATTTCATTTCGGTTTCCTGCGTGCTTCAGAGTTAAGCGAGTTGAGCGCTTTCCAAGTTCTGATTTCGTTTGCTATTCCGAATCGTCACACTACCACACTACACCACAACGCCACAAATATCTAGAATATATATATATATATATATATATATAATATATACACTAACTTAACTAAACTAAACTAAAAGAAAAACAAATATATTGCTGTGATACCAAATTCAATTGAACGGAAATTGTAAGGATTTACCAATAACGAACGTATAATTATTCATGAATTTGCTGAAGCTACAACAAGAAACCGTTTTCAATTTTGCCTAGTTAATGCCATTACACAGCCATCGATCGAATGGATCCAATCA